ATTTTTCTGTTACTGTAACAGTTAAGGTCACCAACTTATAAAGAGGAAAGGTTTATTCCAACTCACATTTTTGGAGGTTCTCATCCGTGACCTATTATGCCAGTTGCTTTTGGGCCTGTGGTGAGGTGGCACATCGTGGAGGCACCGTGTGACAGAGCAGAACCTCTCACCCTGTGGTTAGGGAAGCAAAAAAAGATGGAGAAGAAGGGATAGTGCCCATCACTCCCCTCAAGGGATGTCCCCAGTGACCTTAAGACCTCTCCCTCGGCCCTACCTTCTAAAGCCCCACCGCTTCCTGTAGGGCCATGTGGGGAGAAGCCTGTGCCGTGGGCCTTTGTGGGGACACTTAAGATCCAGGCTGTGGCAGAGGTTAGTGATGTTTTTCTTTAGCTCCTTTATTTACTGACTTTGTTTTTCGGTGCAGGGAATTGAGCCCAGGGGCACTGCCCGCTGAGCCACACCCCAGCGCTATTTTGAATTTTATTTGGAGACAGGGCCTCACTGAGTTCCTTAGCACCTCACCAACTTGCTGAGGTTGGCCTTGAACTCCCAGTCCTCCTGCCTCAGCCTCCCGGGCTGCTGGGATGACAGTGTGCAGCCCCGCTCCTGGCTTTTCAGACCCCTCTCCAGGCCTCCTTGCATCCACCCCAGCATGTCTCCAGCTGCCGCTCTCCTGGCCTCAGTCTGGCCTCTGTCTGACTCGGTGTAACCCCATGGAGCCTAATACACAGCCTGATTTATCCCTTTAGGAGTAAAAATGGACCTAGTGAAGCCAGATTTAAAGTTAGGTAGTCAGTGTAGTTAGGTAAACCGGGTCTAATATCGAGTGAGATCTAAATGGAGGCCATGCTGAGAATGAATTCCGGGAAACACAGGACAACTCATGGAATGTTAATAAAGTCCCAGAAAAGCCCTAGGCCCAAAGCCCATCCCAAAGAAGTGATAATGAAGTCCCTCCTGCCCAGATTACTCCTCTGGCCCACCTGTGTCCCACCCCTCGGGCCTTCCCACCTACATTCCATCACCAAAAACTATAAAAAGGGGAGACAACCGCACTTCCACGGATTCCACCTCTTGGGTCCCCTTCTTCCTCCGGGAGAAGTCTTTTCTGCTGTCCTTTAATAAACTTCTACTTTCCACTCTGACCTTGCCTCTGCGTGCTTCTCTTATTCTTCAACATTGGGGAAGCAAGGACTCGTCACCGGCCAACAGCGGTAACACTACCAGGTCTCTTCTGAGTGTCCACTTGCTCCAGCTGGGGCTGAGCCAGCCGGATGGTGACCAGATGTTTCCTGAAGGACACCAGGTGCCGCGATGCATCCTGGGGCCTCCTGCTTCCCAGAGGCTGCCTGGGGTTCGGCCTCTCCCCGCAGAGGAGGCGGCTGAGCTCCTGGACTCGGGGGAACTCTGGGTCTGGGTGGCTGGATGGCGGGCTCCCCTACCGCCTGCTGGAGACGCTGCGAGGTTGCCAGCCTCAGCTCTGGGCCGGGCCCCTGGCCTGCCCACAGCGTACCCTTCTGTCGCGGCCCCACCGCAGCCGAAACCATCCTGATTGACAGCTGGGCCCTCTGCTTCCTGGCTGGGCTGGGGCTGGCCCCTGGGGAAGGGCTATAATTAGCAGGCTGGGATCTTGCTGCCTGGGGCCAGTCATTCTGTACTCTGATGGATAAGCTGATGTCACTAGAGATGTAAATATCATTTGGAAACTTTGAAGTTCCTGGGAAGGTTCTGCGGGCCCCTCTCCATCCCTCTGTCCCTGAAGCACTGTGTGGACAAGGATCCCGGGTGGACCCTGCTGTGTGGGAGGCCACGCGGGGTTTGCCTGCAGGACCAGGAGGAGCTGGCTGGTGACAGCTCCGTGCGGGGGGGGGGGGGGGTCCTGGAGCCTTTCCGGTGGCTTCCGTGGTCTGGAAGTGTCACTAGGCGAACTAGCAAGGAAATGTGGTGCTCCCTGACAGGGGTGAGATCAGACCAGGGGGGTTCGTTTCCTGCCCGCAAAGCTGTCTGGAGGGTCCGGTCCCTGGGGAGCCTGCAGAATTAGAAGGTGGCCCCGACTGCCCTCCTGGCGCTGGGGATGGTTTCCAGCACTGGGCACCTCACGGCAGGGACAGGGCCGGGCAGGAAGGGGGCCGATGGGGGAGTGGGGGAGACGTCAGATGTCCTCGTCCTGCTGGGGAAGAGGGACCCTTTCTGCATCAGGAAACAGGTCCCTGGGAAGGGTGTCCATCTGGAGGTGATAGGATGGAAGCCTTGTGTGGTGTAGGGGCAGGGGACACTCCCACTTTTCATCCAGATGGAGGGACCCCCCCTCGGCCAACCCTAAGAAGGTGAGGCCTTTAGATGTCTTCCTCACCCCAGGCCTGGGCTCGGGGGCTTCAGGGCTCCGTGGGGACCTGGGGTCCTTGGTGGTGGGTCTCTGGGCCCTCTGTGTACTCAGGTTAGGGTTTAGGTAGTGATTCCTCGTCACGAGGGTCATTTGGAACCAGGGATCTGGCATTTTGAAGTCTGCTTGCTGTCATTCTCGGAGGACCTGTGGGGCCAAGGCCGGCCTTGAACCGTGGGTTTTACCATGTTCTGGGTTTTGTTTGTTTGTTTTGGTACCAGGGATTGAACCCAGGGACACCTGGCCACTGAGCCACACCCCCAGCCCTGTTTTGTATTTTATTTAGAGACAGGGTCTCACTGAGCTGCTTAGGGCCTCAATAAGTTGCTGAGGCTGGCTTTGAACTCAGGATCCTCCTAAGCCACTGGGATTGCAGGCGTGAGCCACCTCACCTGGAATGTTCTGGGTTTTGGAGCATGAGTGACCGTGCCCTAGAGAGAGGCCTTGAGAGGCCTCGGCGGGGATTACCTTTCCGAGTCAACAGGCAGGCACTTGGCCATGAACTACCGCAGGGTGCTGGGCCCAGGAGAGGGGGTTTCCTGGTAACCTTCAGTGGCGTGTCTCCATCGGAAGCCCTCTTTGTGTGACTCCTGGCGTCCGTCCCCGTGGCTTGTCAAAACTTGGGAGGAAGTAGGCCCTTCCTGTCAGGATAGCCTTGGCCTGTGCAGAAGGAGGCCAAGGGATCTATTGAGGGGATGTGACGCTCAGCAGGGGACCTGTTACATCTACCCCTGTAAGTAAGCTCAGGCAGCCTCTCAGTGGCCGGATGGTGACACTGGGAAAGCTATGGCCTTGGCACATCTTGTCAATGCCGCCTCTGTGTGTCCCTCACCTCCTACACTCAGACCTTCACTGATAACACCAAGGCTTCTGGTTACTCTCCCACAAGGCCTTGAGCTCAGTGCAGAATCAGTCATCTGATTTCCCCCGTCCTCTGGAAAGTCAGGATCCTTGCACAGGAAGGAGATTGGGTAAATAGGGTCTGACTCAAACCCGAGAGTGGGTGGGAAAGCCCAGCTCTGGTTCATACAAGTCCTTGATGATAAATATCTGTTGTACTTTGCCAGTGTCAGGAATGTCAGGGTGCTGGAACGATTAAAAAAAATCCTCCTTGGCAGGGAGCTTATGTTCTGGTGGAGAGGACAAAAATAAATAAGTAAATAAAAATAAAGGAAATAATGTTGTATGTTAAATACTGATAAATACAAAGGAGGGAAATGGAACCGGAAAAAAGGGATTTGATGGGGAGGGACTTTCCACTTCTAAATAAGGTGTCCAGAAGGCCTCAGTGAGCAGGTGACCGTTGAGCAAAGATGGAAGGACATGGGGCTTGAGGCATGTGGGTGTCAGGAGAAAGCGCATTTCAGGTAGTGGGAACTACCTGTGCAAAGGCCCTGGGGTGAGCACATAAGGTGTGTTTGGCAGCAGCAAGGAGCTTGGGTTTTCCTGATGGTGAATGACAGTGTGTGTAGTAACAGCGTGGATCATCTCTCCGTTGTCAGAAAACTTGAGAATAAGGGAATTATTTTAAAATCCCCTCAAAATTCCTCGTTTCAACCTTCAGCCTTCCTTCTGGTCATCCTGAAAGTAAATTCCTTATGTTTCCTCTTCGATACCCTAACCCTGACCCTAATCCTAACCCTAGCCCTAACCCTGACCCTGACCCTAACCCTAACCTCCAGGGCTGCCGTAGCATCCAGGACCACCATTAAGTCCCTCAGACTTGGTTTCCCAACAATCTGGAGGTCAGAAGTCCCAGGTCAAGGTGTGGACAGGGCTGGTTCCCTGGGGTCCTCCCTGTGATGTGTAGTGACTCTTCCTGTGTCTTCCCATGGTCTGTGGGTTTGTACCACGACCTCAGTGTAAAAGGACACTGGGCGTGTTGGATGGGGCCACCCTGATGACCTCGTTGTAACTTAATCACCACTTTAAAGGCAAATCTCCAAATACAGTCACATTCTATGGCTCTTCAGCAGAGGGATCAGGGGGGTCACAGTTCAGCCCATAATGGTGTCCCCCAGGGGAAGCCCCCCGGTGGCAGGTACCACAGCCCTGGACGGGCTCTTCATGGGAAGGTCAGCCCCTCTCCGCTCTCCCCTCTCCCTCCCTCCCTGACTTCTTTCTTTTTGTTGGGGTGGGGGACGGGTACTGTGGATTGAACTCAGGGGTCCTCGACCACTGAGCCCACCCTCTTCTGTATTTATTTAGAGACAGGGTCTCACTGAGCTGCTTAGCACCTCGTTTTTTTGCTGAGGCTGGCCTTGAACCTGTGATCCTCCTGCCTCAGCCTCCTGAGCCGCTGGGATGACAGGCCTGCGCTACTGCACCTGGCTCCATCCCTGACTTCTTTTTTCGTTTTTGGTCCTGGGGATTGAATCCAGGGGCACTTAACTACTGAGCCACATCCCAGCCCATACACACACACCCACACCCACACATAATATTTATTTTTAAAAAATTTAATTTAGAGCCAGGGTCTCTATAGTTGCTCAGGACCTCCCTGAGTTGCTGAGGCTGGCTTTGAACCTGAGATCCTCCTGCCTCAGCCGCCCCGCCCCCAGCCTCTGGGATTGCAGGCGTGACCCCGGGCCAGCTCATTCCCTGCCTTCTGCTCCAGCTGATCGGGGCCCTGGTGCTGTCTGTGGGGATCTACGCTGAGGTCGAGCGGCAGAAGTACAAGACCCTGGAGAGTGCCTTCCTGGCGCCCGCCATCATCCTCATTCTCCTGGGGGTCGTCATGTTCCTGGTCTCCTTCATCGGCGTGCTGGCCTCCCTGCGGGACAACCTGTACCTTCTCCAGGCGGTGAGTGAGCCTGGCCTCTGCCGGGAGGTGGTGCTGGGGGGTTCCTGGGGTCTCCAGGAAAGCCCAGGAGACACCCCCAACCCTGGTACAGCTTGGTTTCCTCAGTCCACACCACCAAGCGGCTTCTCCCGAGGACCCCCTGGGCTAGCCCACAGATCCTGGTGGCCAGGAGAGCCCGGGCCACCCTGCCTACTTATAAAAGCTGATCTGAAAACTGTTCTTGCTCCTTGAACTGTCCCCCTCGACCTCAGTTGCAACAGGAGAAGCGACACTCAGGGGGCAACAGGCAAAGCCAGACAGGAGCATCAGCTTGTGCGACCAGCGGACCACACTGGGGGGGTTAGCGGTGCCTCTGGGTAGGGCTGGGCTGTCTCTCTTGCCACCTCCCAGGGGACGGCTCCTGCCTAGCGCTGTCCTCTGGCTTTCTGTGTAGGGGTCACACTGCAGCCTCGGGCCACAGAGTCCTTAGAGTGCTGGATCCCAGGCATCTCTCCTGGCTGAGTCTCAGGGTCCCGTGGGCCTGGCTTGAGTCATGTCACATGGGGAGAGAGGCAGGGGGTGGCATCAGCCCCACCTGAATTCCTGTACCGAGGGTGGGAAGCATCCAGGTAGCAGATCCTAGCAGATCCACCGCTCCACCCTCGAGTGTCCGGCCTCCTCTGGGAGGCTTCCCGTCCCCCACAGAGGGGTTGGTCCTGCCCGAGGCTGGAGGCGCTGGGATCAGCTGGAGGTGGCCTGTTCTCCGCTGAAGGGGTGGCATCAGGTGACCCCTCGCCACTCTGGGTGGATTGGGAAGCCACTTCTGAGGGGTCCTGGCGGGAGTGGGAAACACTGCCCCAGCCCGCCCATCGAGCCAGGGCTGTCCCCTGTGGCTGAGCTGGAGTGAGCCCAGCTGTCCTCTTGGTGGAGTGGGGACCTAGACCACCGAGACCCCAGTGAGGACCCGTGGGACCAAAGGGGGTGACAGCCTGCTTGGGGCAGCTGAGTCAGTCTTCCTGCCTCATGGCCCCAGAGACGGGCCTCCCGGGCACAGCTGGGCGGATCCCGAGTTCTCCTGGGAGGAAAGGCCGAGGCCAGGGAGCCAGCGGAGCTGCCACAGGTGACACTCCCTGTTGATCTGCTTGCTCTCGGGGCAGATGAAGCTGAGCCCCACGCACGTCCCCTGCCCGCCCCAGGTGAGTCGCTGAATTCTGTCTTCCAGTTCATGTACATCCTTGGCATCTGCCTCATCATGGAGCTCATTGGTGGCGTGGTGGCCTTGATCTTCCGGAACCAGGTGGGCCTGGGGGTTTACTTATCAGCTACATGTGTGCTGTGTACCTACTGTGTGCCTGGGCTGTCAGCGGGGGCTGCGGGGAACAGGGCAGAGCATCCTCACGGGGCGGGGCTTCCACTCTGCTGGGGTGAGGAAACAGGTGACCTGAGAGACCCGGGGGCGGGGTGGGGGAGGACAGGGCCACAAAAGGAGAAGGAACCAGCCAGGCATGGCCTGGGCAGAGGGGGCTGAGCAAGAATGAGCTCTCAGGTTTGCAGAGCCTCATGGAGGCCTCTTGGCTGATTGGAAGGGGGATGGGGAGGGGGACAGAAGGGGGGCCAGGAGGGCCTGTCTGGGGACCACTGGGGGTGGAGGGGGGCTCAGAGACTGCGGGTTGGGAGCTTGAAATGATTTTAAAAGCCACTGGGAGCCTTTGGAGAGTCTCAAGCAGGAATGGATGAGGCCTGATTTGATTTTACTCTGGGCTCCAGGTAGAGGGTGGTGGGGGGCAGGCGGGGCTGCTGGAGGAGACCAGCTAGGGGCCTTGGTGGCCAGGGCAGAGGGGCTGGCGGCTGGGGGGCGGGAAGCCTGGACTGAAATGTGGGGTTTGGTGTGCACTCTGGAGGCGGCCCCGACAGGGCTGTTGTGATGGGTATAAAATCGAGGCCGTTTGAGGGGCGGTGCCTGACGTCCTGGCCCCGTGGGTTTGCAGAGCAAGGGCCCATCCAAGCTGGGGAGGTTCACGGCTCTTGGTCTCTGACCCCTTCATGTTAGTCTCCAGACGTGCGTCATCCTAGCTGAGTGACCTTGGGAAGGTCACTTGACCCTCAGCTCCTTGGGGGATCACCATTCCTAGCTCTTGGGGTTGGGGTGAGGATGAAGTATGGAGAACTTGGCACAGATTGGGCACAGGCTGGACCCTCACTAGCTCCTCTGGCCCAAGGCCCTCAGGCAGCCCCATGGTGTGGTAGGGCTGCCTTCCCACCTGGGGTCTGTCCTTTCTCCCAGGATCTCCTGTTGTCTCCTCCTGCTTCGGGGTTGCAGGTGGGACCCGAGGAGCAGGGCACATTTGCAGAAGCCTAGTCCTTTCTGTCCAGTCCTCTGCCTTCATGCCTACCACCCCAGATAGTGTGTTTCCTGGAGGTCCATGGCTGTTGGGAGGTAATTCAGGGCTGAGGTCAGATTCTCCTCCTCAGAAGCTGAGCCCAAGGCAGCAGTCCCCATCCCAGACCCTGGGTTGTGCGGAGCCCTCCAACAGCTCAGTGTCCCGTCCGTGCCATGCTCTTCCTGGGTGTGGCTGGAGTGCCAGCTCAGGTGGGGGCAGTGACCTCGCCTGCTTGGGCTTCCTGTGGTGGGACCTGACCTCAGGCAGGTCCACACCCTGAGAGCCAAGGGTCTGCATTCTGTTGGGTGAGCCCCAGGAGAGGGCGTCATCAGTGCACAGAGAGGTTAAGAAATTCTTTCAAGAGCACACAGCGGACAGAGGTGGCTCAGGGCTACATGAGTCCAGTCTTGCCACCTGCTCCTTCCCTTGCTCCCTTGCTAATTTCCGGGTCGTCTGCTCTGAGCTGGCAGACCCAGGACACCGGGAGAGCCGTGATCATTTCATCTGTGCAGGCCGCAGGGCCCCTGGCTGGCTGGGGACCTTCTCGGGGTTATGGGTCAGTGTTTTCCGGGCCAGAGCCCAGTCCAGCTCCTGGCCAGCAGCCTCTGCCACCTTAATAACCAGTCCCCTCCTAAGTGAGCAGCGGTCTTAGTTCCAGCATGTTTCCGCCAGGCGGCTGGCTTTGTCATTTCCCAATGTCCTGGAGGTCAACAAGGCCATGCTGTGGCCTCCTTTCAACTGAGGGAGCTGAGCCCACTGAGGGCCCTGGAGCCTCCTGGGGCCTTCCGCTCTCTGCTTGGGAAGCCACAGGCCTGAGGTCACTGGGAGAATTTCCAGCGGCCCCCAAGCCTTGCAGGAGCCACGGCCTGTGGAGCGTGTCCTTCTCTTTTGATTGGGTGTCCCCTGGGGCCATGGTGGGCAGGGGCTGTGCTGCGTGGAGGTGGGGGAGGGGCGTGGAGAAGAATCAGCTCAAAACCAAAATCAGTTTCCCCTCCTGCGTCCTCGAGGCCCAGGTCCCCCCTGTGACCCCAGTGTGAGGGGTTCCCCCCACATGCCACACGTTCAGCCATCGGGTCGGTCGTGGACGCCGGCGGGGTGTCCTGTAACACAGTTCACTGTCTATCTGGAGGTAGCGGCGGACTCCACAGGCTGAGGGCTCCGTGCCCAAGACTGTCCCCTCCCCTTGAGATGCCAGTCACAAGTCCCAGGTGGTTCTGCGTGTGCTTCTGACCAACCAGCTCCCAATCGGGGTCCCACAGCCCCCCCTGCAGGTCAGCAGATTGCTGGGGAAGCTCACGGGACTCGGGGGGCGTGGTGCTGGCTTAAGGGACATTGGGAAGGAGGGGAGATGCACAGGTGAGGTCTGGGGGAAAGGGTGTGGAGCTCCAGCCCTCTCAGGTCCCCCCTGCAGGGCCTCGCTGTGCCCCGCTCTCTGGAGGCCTCTGAACCTGTCCTTTGGGGCTTACGGAGACTCTGGTGCGTGGGCACCGTGGAGAGTGGCGGGCAGGCACCCAGCGAGGCCTGTGCAGGCCTGTGTGTTCAGACTTCCAGCATGGCTCCCTCAGGGGAGTGGGGCAAGACCCCTGGAATGAGGAGGGTGTGGTGACCTGCCTTCACACCTGGGTAGGTTGGAGGTGTCTTTGTGTCCTCGACAGATGGGGGAAGATTAAAGTTCCTATGGCCTGTGTCAAGAAGAAGAAGTTTGCATTTCTTGTGTGTGTGTGTGTGTGGGGGGGGGTGGGTGTGGGTGTGTGTAGCACTGGGGTGGAACCCACGGGTGCTCTACCACTGAGCTACACCCCCAGCCCTTTTTATTGTATTTTGAGACAGGGTCTCACTGAGTTGCTGAGGCTGGCCTTGAACTTGTGACCCTTCTGCCTCAAGCCTCTGGAGTAGCTGAGATCATAAGTGCACAGGCCATGCCTGACTCAAAAATTCCAGTTTCTTTGACCTCCCATGGGGAGGGAATGTATATCTATCTACATACAAATACAAGTAAAAGTACAACAGTCTCATGGTATCAGAGAGCTGGAAGGCAATTTAAAAAATGTTAAGGGCAGCCAGGTAGGAGGTGCACGGCCCGGGACCCAGAGACCAGGGAAGCCGTGGGTGATTTTAAGTAGTATTTATTTTAAAATAAAATAAAAACTAAAAAAGGATTGGGGATGTAGCTCAGTGGTAGAGTGTTCCTGGAGTCAATCCCTGGTACCAATAAATAAATAAATAAATGATGATGATGATGATGATGATAATAGTAATAATAATAACAGCAATGGTAATAAATAAAAATATTAAAGCAGGATACAAAATCACAAATGCAGTAAAAATCTTCACGATAAAAAAATAGGTCTGGAAAAGACTCATGGGAACAGAAATATGAGCATTAATATAGCCCTTGAAGGATGGGATGCCTCTCTATTTTTTTCCCTAGTTCTCAGATTTTCTTTTTTGTTTTTTAAAGTTAAGGGGAAAACACCACATTAAAGCAAAACAAAACAAAACACTGTTCCATCAAGTGTGGTGGCACACACCTGTAATCCCAGCCGCTCGGGAGGCTGAGGCAGGAGGATCATGAGTTCAAAGCCAGCCTCAGCAACAATGAGGCGCTAAGCAGCTCAGGGAGACGCTGTCTCTAAATAAAATATAAAAAAGGGCTGGGGATGTGGCTCTGTGGTTGAGTGCCCCGAGTTCAATCCCCAGTTCCTCCCTCCATCCCCAAAAAACCACTGTGCTTTACAACTCTTAATGCAACATGACTTCGTAAGGCAAGAGATGGGCCAGTGTTGGGGACACGGCAGGAGGGCTTGCCTGTTGATGGTAGGAAGGCGGAAGACCAGCGAGGAGCCATCCAGGCCAGCTTCCAGGAGGAGGCAGGTTCCTGGTTCCATGTTTCCTTCATCAAGAGAAGACAGATCTCTCTGAGCCACCATATAACAAGTTCGGCCTCCAGCACCAGGAGCCACCCGTTAACTCCTAGACCATCTGTGTGGTGACAAGTGAGATCAAATGATCAGGCTGAAGATGCCATGTGGGTTCTCAGGGAGGGGCTCAGACAGGGGCCAGGTCCCGGTGGCCAAAAATCAGCCCTTGGTGAAAGGCAGGGACTCCTCAGCGGGAGGTGGGCAAGGCTTCTGCTGACGCCCCGAGCTCATGGTGGGATGGAGGGGTGAGCAGCCAGGCAGTGCGGGGCAGGGCCATAGCAGGTTTCAGAAGCCGAAGTGGCTGTGGCACCTTGGCCAGGCCAGTGGGAGGAGGACCCTGTGACCCCCCCACTGTCCAGGTCTCGCCCCTCTTGACACTTTCTGCCTTCCCCTTAAGGAGGCCAGTGGTGGGGCACCTGGAGCGCCCTGGGCTATGGCAGGAATGTCTGTCCCCGTGCCAGCCTCCTTCCCTCTGCCTTTACGGAGGGCAGTGGCCTCTCTTTTACTCTCCGTTGAAGGAGGCCCTGCTTTCTGGTTGTCCACCTGGTACCTGCGCTGGCTGTGGACACACCAGAGGTCGGGGCAGGAGGACTAGACCGCGCCACGGCTCCTGAGCTCCTGAGCCCCTCAGCACAGGGACCCTTCCCCGGAGCCAAGCTGCTGGGCTCCAGGGTGGGAGAGGCTCTGGACTGGCCTGGCCAGACTCCCCAGCAGGCGGACCTACTGTGGGGCTGCTGGGGAGTGAAGGCTGGAGCCCCAAGTCTGTGGGACACTGAAGCATAACCTCCCCCCCCGCCCCCCCCCCCCCCCGCAGGGACCAGCCTGTGACTCCCAGACGGACCCCAGGGAGCCTCGGGCCAATGTTCCCCGAGAGCCTTTCAGCTCTGACCCCGGGATTCTCTTCTGTCCTGGGCTGTCAGACTGGGCCTCTGTCAGGACTGGGCAGAGGCTGGGGTCTGGGGCAATGAGGATGAGTCCCCACCTTCTAGGGGGACTGGGGGACATTCACAGGTGACTGCATAGGCACTAAGGGAGGCAGGAAGCCCAGGCCAGGCTGCCCTTCCTCCAGGATCTGAGGCCCAGGCGTGCAGCTGGGCTGCCAAGGCAAGGCCTCCCCAGCCTTTGGTCTCAAAGCTAATAAGGAAGTGCAGGAAGCCTTGGGCAGCCTGCAGGGCCCAGGACGGCTCTGTCCCCGCAGGGCAGGCTCCTGCTAGGCTCTTTGCTCTTCCCTGCTGCCAGGGAGCTACAACCTCTATGATTCCTCATTTAAAAACTTCCAGGCAGGCAGGTGGCACACGCCTGCAATCCCAGTGACTTGGGAGGCTGAGGCAGGAGGATTGAGAGTTCAAAGCCAGCCTCAGCAACTTGGTGAGGCCCTGAGTTACTCAGTGAGACCCTGTCTCTAAATAAAATATAAAAAAGGGCTGGGGTGGGGGCTCAGGGGTTGAGCGTCTCTGGGTTCGATCCCTGTACTTTCCACACCTCTCTCCAGGGAGGGTGATGCAGAGGTTCTACAGCTTGAAAACTCCATCTCAAAGAAAGATCTAGAAAGGACAGTTCTTTGTCTTATCTGGTGGCTGCAACAACGTGCTCTGGAAACCCCACGGCCTCCGGCCTTCGCTGACTCCTGACATAACCTAGCCCAGACCTCGTGAGCCCGGTGCCTGGGGAAAGGTGGCTTTCTGGACCCACTGGAGCTGCCCCCGTGGCGTGACCTGGCTCGGAGCTGGGCTTGGGTGGCCTCTGGGTGTGGCTGCAGAAAGCTGAGTTCTCTCTGGCTGCCACACTCCCAGGGCATGTCCTCCGACTGGCTCGAGTCCCTTGGAGCATGCCCGGTGCTGGTGACATCAGTGAGCGCTGTACAGTTCAGAAAGGCACAGCCTGCCCCCGCCTGGGACTTCCTCCCTCACCCCCTCCCCAGCTGCCCCTCCAGTGTCCGGCTTATGTCCCCAGCGTGCTCATGTGCAAACACACACGCACGCATGTGCACTCACAGTTCCAGAAGCAGTGCACGCTCACAAGAGCCAGCCTGACCCAGAGAGCTCCCTCCTGGGAGCTGGGCAGCTGCTGCCCATGGGCAGGACCATCTGTCCCTCCCACGACTCCCAGGTCCCCAGAGGCCTCCAGCAGGCCCCCTTTCCCCGCAGGGCAGCTCAGTTTCCATATGGATTTCCACAGAGGCCTCCCTTGGGGTCAGTGCCCTTGGAAGGCGCTCAGTGACAGGGTGGGGAGAGGCCGGGGAGGGAGGCCAGAGAGCCAGGGAGGACCTTCCCTTGGGGCCACCAGCTCCCCTCTACGCTGTCTTCCTCCTGCCCTGGCCTCCTGGCTTGTCCACCTGTTGCCAGTTCTCAGGGTCCAAACAGCCCAGTGGCCCAGGGGAGGGCAGCGGTGGCCCAGGAGGGTGTCCCTAGTGCCTTGAGGGTGGAAGGAAGCCACACACCACATCCCCACCCTGTGGCCCCAGGCATGTCCCTGACCTGGTGTCACCAGGCACGCAGCTCAGCCAAGTGCCCCTTGCACAAGTCACTCAGTGCTGTGAGCTCATTCCCTGGCCCCACCTTGGGTGACAGACTGACCCACCCTGGTGTCCCGTCCCGTCGCCATCCCCTGCCAGGCCCCGGCCACTTGGCCTGGCCCTTCACACCCAGATGGACGTTGGAAAGGCTTCGTCACTTGGGGGCCTCTGGGGAGGGTGGGCCAGCGGCCAGGCCGGTCCTCGCTCCACCTGGGCCGTGTGGTGAGCAGGCCTGGTCCAGCCGCCCCTGCCCCGGGGTCCAGGGCCAGACCGAGGGGCGAAGCAGGCTGGTGAGTTCAGAGACTCGCCCACAGCCTCTGCCTTCCCTCCCGGGCCGAGGCCGGCCTTCCCCTCGGCAGGTCCGCTCTGGAGCTGCTGTTGATCAGCAGCAGAGGGCGGGCTCTTGCTTCCCAGAGCCAGGCTCCTGCATCACCTTGGCTTTGAGCAGTTCGGATCTCGGGCAGGAGGTGGCCATCTTAGAGAGATGACCTCAAATCTGAATCTTACGTTCTTTGCTTGGTACTTTAAAGTGTCAAGGGGGGAGTTTGACACCCTGGCGACAGCACCTTCTCCCGTGTCAAGTAGGACAGCAAAGCTGCCGTTGCTCTTCCTGCTTTATAGAGGAGAACTGGAGGCCCAGAGAGGCTGATCGACTTGCCTGCAGTCACACAGCTGGGAGTGGGGGTAGGAGGATTTGAACTCATGGGCAGCTTGCATCTCTCTGTGGGTCCCAGGATGCATGCAAGGATGGCCCTGGGACTCTGCCCCAGAGGCTGCCTCTGTTACAGTGGGTCTTTTGGATGAGAGTCGGGGCCTCCGTTCCCCTGCTGTGACCACGGTGTGGAGTGTCTCACGAGGTATTTGTCTCCTGGAAACAGTAGTGAGCCGTGTGCCCGCGTCCTGTTAGACGCGTCCAGAGCTTTAGCTATTCTAATCTCACGGCCTCTTTATAAGCCAGAGGTGTTGGCCTCTAGATTTTGGAGGTGAGGAAATGAAGGCTTGCAAGTCACCGTGCCTGCCGTGGGGTGGCCGGGGCTGTCCCCTGGACCAGGAGGCTGGACAGTCGAGGCCCTGAACTTCGATCTTCAGATCTGGAAGGTTCCTTGAGGACAGCCTACGGGTTGGCTTACACGTGGGAGACTGAGGCTCAGAGAGGGGACGTGAGCTGGGAGGGGCCTGGAACCTGGCCCCTCTGTTGCAGTGTGCCCCGTGGCCCCACTGTCCCTCTGTACCCTGTGGCTCCCACTGTCCCTCTGTACCCCGTGGCCCCACTGTCCCTCTGTACCCTGTGGCCCCACTGTCCCTCTGTACCCCGTGGCTCCTGCCCCGGGAATTGTCTGGCTCCTCTCTCTGGCACTAGAGCCAAGAATGCCCCTTTGTCCCCGGCCTCTGCCGGTCCCCGCCTCAGTGCTGTGAAAGCTCTGATTGTCCCTGGAGCCCCTGGATCCGGGCTGCCCACACTGCCACCCCCGCCCCTGCCTGCTGTGGGCCCTTTGTGTCCCCGGATCTCGGCACAACAGCCGGCTGTTGATCCAGAAAGCCCAGCGTGACCGGGAGGGGGCATGCCAGCCCACTGCCCGGGAGGACTGTCCCTGCCCCGCTGGCCATGGGCACCACAGAGAGGGAAGGAGGCCCAGGCGGGGGGATTCCAGGGTGGCCAGCCCTGGTCAGCGACCCTGTGACTCCCTGCTGGTCCCTTAGTGTCCTCCTCTATGAGGGGGATGGGGGGCAGAGGGGAGGGGGTTTGGAAGGCAGAGGAAGGTTCCAGCTCAGGTCTGTCCCTGGGCCATCAGAGAGCAAGGGGCTGGGGGCCAGTGTGCCCCGGGCCCAGCTCGCCCGGCTGCTTCCCGGCCCAGTGCCTCCAAGCTGGGCCCAGCCTCTCGGGCCTGGGCCTGCCGCAGAGCCGGGACATTGCCCTGCTGGGACCTGGCGCCCACTGGGCCTCGGGGCGTAGGGAGGGTGCCGGGACTGGGAGCTCGGGGAGCGGAAGGGCGTCGGTACCGATCTTCCTTCCAAGACCTGGGGGTGGACCTGGCCTGTGGCCTTCCCTGTGCCCCCTCTTCTCTTAGACCATTGACTTTCTGAACGACAACATCCGACGAGGGATTGAGAACTACTACGACGACCTCGACTTCAAGAACATCATGGACTTTGTTCAGAAGCAGGTGAGCCCCGGGGCTGGGGCCAGAGGGGTACCTCGAGGTCCTTCGTCCCCCTGACTCCCACCACAGTAGGGACCCCTGCTCCAGAAGGGAGGGGGTGTCAAGGGTCAGGTGACGTATCCATTCCCAAAGCAGGCGGCTGGCCCAGTTGGGAGGCGTGGCCACCAACGAAGCCAGGGCCCAGCTGGCCCCCGAGTCCTGGCCCAGGTGACCGTATCCTACCCACTCTGGTTACATGGACCCTCCCCTGTCCCCTCCCACCCCCAAATAATCACCCCCACAGCAAGGCCAGGCGGAGCTACGGGCCACCTTGCAGGGTCCTGGGTACACCTCCTCCAGGGCCAGGGACCCTCCTCTGCGGGATGAGGTGGCCTCCCCAGCCTAAGCCTCCTCGGCGAAGTCCCCTGGCTCCAGGGAGCTCACCTGCTAAGTGACAGTCCTGATGGCAGGACTCTGCACCGGCTCATTCCTCCAGGTCGGGCACAGAGCCACCCCCGCCCCCACCACGCGTCCCCCAGTGTGATGAGAATCCTGTGCCGTCTGGGGTCCCCGGCCTCCCCAGGCCCACCCGACTCTGTTGGTGCCATGAGAGCAGTTGCAGGGCCGCCAGTGTCCCCATGCGCTCCTGCACCTGTCTCCTTTGGTCCCGGCTCACGGTCCTCACTCCCTGAGCGCTGCCCTGAGGGTCACCCAACTTCTCTCAGGAACAGAGCCTGGCACAGCACGTGCCAGCAGCGAGGCCGTCCTTACACTCTCCTGGTTGAGGCCAGCAGAGTTTGAAGGCTGCAGGCCCACTCGGCCCTGGAGGCCTGTCCTGGGACATGACCTTGGGGGTTGGGCTGGCCCTTGAGGACCAGCCTCTCAGCACACCCAGGGCCCTTGGCTCAGAGCTTCTCTGTGGTCAGAACAGGTGCAGCTTCTGGGAGCCCTGGCTGCCAGGACGTGCCTGCCAACGCTGGCCGGAGCGTCAAGTCAGACTCCAGGGAGAGCACGATGTTTTTATTGGAACCAGCCTCTTGCTGGCACGGGGACTCCATCTCCTGGGTGGGGCAGGGCTGACCAAAGCTCACTGGGCCCCTGCTGTGCACAGCCTCTCTTGTGATCACAGCTTAGTTCTGCAAAGCTGCTGTTGCTCTTCCTGTTTTATAGAGGAGAATTTGAGTCCAGAGAGGCTGATTGACTTACCTGCAGTCACACAGCTGGGAGTGGCAGTATGAGGATTTGAACTCAGGCAAAGCAGATGTCCCTTGAACTGCACAGAGGCACTTACAGATCCAGAAAGCTGATTGCTTAAGAGGCACTATGGGGGCTCTGGAAGGGTGTCTGGTTTCTGTTTCTACCAGGACCTCCTACTGAAGCTCTCCCCAGGGATGCTCCACTGCTCCTGGACCTAATCCTGGCTCCCCGCTTACTCTGGCTGACGGGGCTTGGCGGTGCTCTGCCTCCTTCTCATAACCTGCCACTCGCTCACTCTGTTCCAGACTCGCTGGCTTTTGTGCCCACTGCTGAAGTACAGGCTCGTTTCTGCGCAGGGCCTTTGCACATGTCAACGGGCTTGTCCTTACTTACTTTTCAGATGAAATGTCCCCTCCTCAGAGTGGCCTTTCTGGACCTCCCAACCTGTAGCCACCCACCCTGCTCCCCCCCCACCCGTCTCTCCAAGTCCAGGGTGCACAGAACCCCACCTGATCTTTTCACTTAGCACCTACTGTCTCCCTCGGTGCTTTTGCTCACCCCTTTCTGCCCAGAGCCCCGAACAGAAGCTGGCTCCGCCCACTCCTCAGAGCTGCGCCTGCTGCCCATGGAGCTGGCTGCTGGGGAGGAGGGCGTGGGGTTGACCCGAGGGAGAGCCGGGGCAGCTGCTCGTGCCCCAAGGCCAGTGGACGGGGACTTCCACAGAATCATGGTCTCTGGTGCCGTGAAGGTCCTCCTCCAGCCCAGCGCCTGCACAGGGACACGGGGACACAGGGACACAGGGATGGTGAAGTTGTCAAAGGAGGATTTTCCTTTGGTGCCCAGGTGTTGCCCTGACCTGGGGCACTCACTGCCTCCCGATGGCTGAGCCGCTCGGGGACAGCTCTGGCCCCACACTGCACAGCCGATGCCCTCTAGGGCTCCCTGCCTCAGGGCAACCCCCGTGGTAGACCGCTGTCCCCTGGCCCCTTACCGCCACCCGACCTCCTCGGCAGTGATGGCTCCCTGTCCCGCTTGTGTCCTCCTCAGTTCAAGTGCTGTGGCGGGGAGGACTACCGAGACTGGAGCAAGAACCAGTACCACGACTGCAGCGCCCCCGGGCCGCTGGCCTGCGGGGTGCCCTACACCTGCTGCTTCAGAAACACGGTAGCTGCTGGGGGGGAAGGGCAGGGGTGCACCCCACGCTCAGATCCCGGGTCCGGGGTGGTGGCCAGAGCCGAGCTTTCCTGAGCTCCAAGGGCTCCTGCAGGGGGAGGCCAGGGAGGGTGTCGCCTTGTGAGCCAGGTCAGTTGGCCTCTGTTGGGAACGAGCCCTTTGATTGGGTGAATTCACTTTCCACTTACAGCCTGTGAGCAGGCCCTGGGATTGTCCCCACTTTCCAGATGGGGAAACTGAGGCACTGGAAGGTTGGGCGTCCTGTCCAGACTTGGCAGGGCTATAGGGTAAAATGCCCGCAGCTGTGCCCTGGAGAGCTGTGGGCAGGGACGGGGCAGGAGGAGGGGGCCCTGGCGGGGGGTGTCTCCCGTGACCTTGAGCTTGAGGTTCTGGGAGTCGCAGCAGCAGAGCACTGGGGAGAAGCGGGTCTGGGGGTGTGAATGCCTGCTTCTGCCTCTCCCCGGCACACCCCTCTCAGCTGTCACCTCCTGAGTCCCCTGGGCTGCTGTCCTATGCAGTCACCGCCCGTCAGTCCTCGGGTGTAGCCAGTGTGCGCAGAGCTGCCTGGTTTCTGGATCGGAATGGAGCAGACGGCGTTGCAATTACTCAAGCCACCAAGAGTCATGGAAAATTCCCCGCTGACACCTCCGCTCTCTGTGCCCGCGGGTTCTGTAAACGGAGCAGTGGCGGGCGGGGGCCTCGCCCTGAGCCGGAGCCAGCGACAGTGCATCACCCTAAAAAAGGCCAGGCCAGGAGGGGAGCCGGCATGGCACATCCAGCTGCCATTTTAGGGTAGATCTCTGGGCAGCAGGAGAGCCGTGGAGAGCCGGGGTTTTCAGAGACCTGGAGAGGTTCGTCCAGCACTCTTAAGTGGCAGAGAAGGAGCTGGATCCATTGAGGGTGATGCCGGAGGCCACAGTAGCCTCTCCTTGGTCACTCATGGCCCCCTGGCCCCACAGCGTTCACTTAGACATAGAGGGACACGCTGGACAGGCTGAGCCTGGGGGCCCACCTCTCCCCTTATGAATGGAGATGGCATCAGGCAGGGCACAGGTGGTGACAGAAAGTTCCCCTGCAGCCTGTGTCCTGGGGCCTGTCTGGAAGGGATGGGACAGGGCCTGGTCATAGCTTTCTCTGTGCCTGAGTTGACCAGCAGCCAGGAGTCCTGGGGACCACTCTTCCATAGCGCTCCCTGCTGCTGAGGCAGGGGACGTGTGGCCAGTGGCCCAGGGAAGGGTGGACCCAGCGGCAGGGTCCCAGCTGTGGTCTGAGGTTTCCCTTCATAGGAACCAGTGGAGTAGGAAGAGCCCGGTCCCAGCCTCTTCGAGGTGTGTGACCACAGTGGCTCTTGGAACAGCTGGGGATCCTGAGACAGCACCGCCTGGTTACTGCGGGTGGAGGGGACAGTTTAGGCACAGACTCAAGCCAGGCCACTTGGGCAGACCCTCGGCTCCCTCCTAGACGGCGCAACTCTCTGGGCCTCAGTCCTTCCAGCTGTAAAATGGGTGGATTGAGGGTCTTAGTGTGCACCCTGGAGGGTTACCGGCCACACCTTTCTGTTTCAGACAGACGTTGTCAACACCATGTGCGGCTACAAAACCATCGACAAGGAGGTAATGTCTTTGAAATTCCTTTGTCCCAGAATTTGGCTCTTCTTGTCCTTCCCCCAGGTAGACAGAGGGGTTTCCAGAGGTGGGGTTCCTGCTGCAGTGACTCCCCACACTCCTGGCTGTGAGCCGAGGACAGGCCTGCCGGACACAGAAGGGCTCAGGGAGCCAGGAGTCCTCGTGTCCCTGGGTCTGGGAGAGGCCACCTGCCAGGGTTTGCTGAGCACCTAGTTCAGTCTTGTGCACATGAGAGACGGTGGCCCTTGCAGGCACCCCCTGTACACTGTGTCCCTGGCTCTGCCCCCTCCCAGCCTGCTTTTGCCCTTGGAGTTGCCAGTTGGCAGACGGCTCATCTCTGCCTGAGACCCAGGAGGACAGTGAGCCCCTGGGGGTACCCCGGGGTCAGCTTCCTGAGCAGTAGGGGGTCTCTGCAGCAGCTGCCCTGTGGGAACACATTAGAAAGCACATCATTTGGGAGCATTTCAGATTTGGGGGTTTGGATTAGGGATGCTCAACCTTTATAATCACTATTCGATTTACATAGTAGTCGTTCTAGACGATTCCTTGTATATTAAAACCATGCAAAAAAACCCAAACCCTTTTTTCTCCCTCCTACGTACCTGGAGTTAGGCTTTTGGCTCAGGTGGCCGTAGGCAGGCCAGGGGTCCACTTGAAAGGCGTGCACACGGGCCAGTGTTTGTGGACTAGGGTTACCCTGAGCTTTGCCATCCTCCAGTACCCAGCCCCAATCATTTGGACACCAAGGTGCCACCGCCATGTCCCCAGTACTCTTTAGGGGAGTGATACTAGAGAATCAGTGGTCTGCGGCCATCTTCCCATATTGCATGGGAGAAGCGGAGGCCCAGAGTGGCCAAAGGATTGACCTGGAGCTCTGGTGAGTGGCAGAGGGGATGTGCTGTCGGGCTGACCAGCCTCCCCCCTACAGCGCCTCAGCGTGCAGGACGTCATCTACGTGCGGGGCTGCACCAACGCTGTGCTCATCTGGTTCATGGATAACTACACCATCATGGCGGGCCTCCTGCTGGGCATCCTGCTCCCCCAGGTGGGAGCCCCCAGGGTCCCCTGTGCAGCTGGGTTATTGCAGGAGTAGTGTGGGAGAAGATGGGGGGCTCTGGGAGGGCTGGAAGAGAGGCCGGGAGGCTGGAGCGTGGGGTGTTGAGCTCTGAGGTGCTTCACAGGCACCTCCTCCTCCGGCTCTCTGTGAGGGAGTGGGACGATCATTCCCATTTTGCAGAGAAGGAAACTGAGGCTTGGCGAGGTGAAGTGACGTGCCTGAGCCCTGCTAGATGGGCCACGGCAGAGCTGGGTGGGGAGCAGGTTCCCAGCCTGCAGGGACCCTGGCTGGTGGGACCCAGGGAGGCCTCTGAGGCTTCTGGGGGGGGGGCCTGGGGAGGCCTAGGCTGGGGCTGCTGGGTCGTGGGGTGCAGGGAGGAGCTCCCGGGAGGGCTCTGCACTGGCTGCTCGTGTTTCTGGAGCCGGGACCTGCCAGGGAGGGCCGCCCTGGGGGCCGCGAGGCTCTCCCCAACCTGCCCCTTCTTCTTAGTTCTTGGGGGTGCTGCTGACGCTTCTGTACATCACCCGCGTGGAGGACATCATCATGGAGCATTCTGTCACCGACGGACTTCTGGGCCCGGACGCCAAGCTCAGCGCGGACACAGCAGGCACAGGCTGCTGCTTGTGCTACCCCAATTAGGGCCGGGGCCTGGACACCAACTCCAGCAGGACCTGGCTGGGTGGCACCTCTCAGTCCACTTTAGGGGCTGGACAGGCTGCACCACGGCCCTGTGCCCGGGTGGAGTGCCCCTGTGGGCGGCATCTCCACGGCCACACACTCTGGGTTCCGTGCCCACCCTGCCAGGAGAGAGAACGTGGCGTCCCTGCTCTGGGTCTGGGCCATGAGGGAAAGAGGAACTTGGGGCTCAGCTTGGGGCCCACTTTATTTCCGGCGGTGCCCTGGGCTTGTGGTCAGTAGGCCCCCCTTCAAGGGCAGTTTTGCTGTGATTTGTCAGTTTGGGGAGACAGTGGCAGGAGGGGCAGGGGGTAGCCCTCCCACGCCCCAGATCAGGTCGGGCCATTTCTCAGCCTCCGTAGGTGCCTTCAGCCCTCTGCAAGGGCAGCTGTTTTGCTGACCTGTTTTCATGTTCTGTGCAGAGCCGGGCATTTTCCCGCTTTGGCTCCAAGTCAGTTCATTAATCAAACAATAAAGACAAGATTTTTTTTTTTTTTTTGTCTTTCATCGCTGTTGCTTTGGTGGGGAGGGGAGGAGGAGGTGGGCTCAGCCTGGACTTGGAAGCCCCTTGTGGGGGCAAGGCTAGAAGGAGGACCACCCAGGGGTGAAGATTTGGTAGTTTGGGACATGGAGGCCAGGGAACATCTCAGAGGGGGAGGCAGAGAAGACGACCACACCCATTTTACAGATTGGGAAACTGAGGTTGGGTGATGCATAGCACACAGTCCCATGATGAGGAAGCAGGACAGTCAAGGGTCTGGGGAGGAGCAGCGCCTTTAAACACACCTGGGCCTTCACAAACTAAAAGTTCAAGTATGTTTCTCCCACTCTGCGGCTGGTGCCAAGGAAAGCTTGGTGCTGATCGCCCCCTGCTGGAGAAGCCAGGGATTGCACACTTCAGTCCCCCACTCTCCTGCCTGAGGCAGTTGTAGACTTCCAGGGAGGTTCTTGGTAGCCAGGGCAGACCCCACCGGGTGCCAGGAGCTTGTCTGGACGTTTTCTAAACACGGCCTCCTCGCTGGTAGTTCTTGCTGTCTCCGCTTTGTGGACGGGAAACTGAAGCAGGGTGGGGACGTCCCTTGCCAAGGCCTGTGGCTGGCTGCTGCTGCCTCCCTGGCTCTGTGTGCACCTGCCTCTGGGCGTGCACAGCGAGGTGTGGCTGGGCTGCCATGTCCTGCCTCCCATGATGGGGCCGCTGCAGCCTCTGCTGGGCTTCCGGTCCCTGTTTTGACCCAGACACCAGGCCAGGGCAGGCTCTGGGTGACTGGTGGCCTCACGGCCCCAGCTGCACTCTGGGAATTCTCTTGGTGCCCATAAGAGAGAGGGTGAGTGCCTTTGGGGACAGCAAGATGGCAGAGGCCCTGAGGAGGGCTTGGGGGCTGCTCTGGAGTCTGCTTGTGCAAGTCAGGTTAGGGCTGAGGACGGGATCAGTGGAGACCACCCTGTGCGTGAGGCCCTCGGGTCCTACCTGGCCCTGCAAATAATAATAATAGTGTTACTCTGAAACCTGGAGACCAGGGCACCTTGTATTTCCCTTTCCAGGGTCACTCTTTCCAATTGCCACTCCTGTGCTGTGGCGAGGACCCTTGTTCCTGCCCCTTTTTGTGCTCCAAGGTCAACGTCATCACCTTGCCACCTTGTCTCACTGAGGAATGGCCCTCCAAACGGGTGCTTTTTTCAATCCCTAACACACATAGGGAATGCCAATGTTTGTGCCATCCACCATATATGTGAAAGCAGAGATTTCTGGGTTTCAATTTTAGGTGTTTTGTTGTTGTTGTTGTTAGAAGAAAAAAAATGCATTAAGGAAAACTCACAGGATAAACACTCCAAAGACAACTGGATTTTTTTTACCTGTTTACTTTTTTATTTAACCTGTTTATTGAGGTACACTTGACAAAATAAATGGTCCATATTTAAAATGACAATTATAGGTGTCCAGGAAACCTTCAAGGCAGTCAAGATAACCAGCATGCCCACCACCTCGAAGACCTCCTCCTGTCCCTTTGGAATCCTTTATCACCCTCCCGAGCATTGCCCTCCCCTGCCAGCATCTACTTGCTCCATTAATTACTTTGAATTTTCTATAATTTGTATTCCTGGCTGCATGCAATGGTGCACACCTGTAATCCCAGTGGTGCTGGAGGCTGAGGCAGGAGGATTGCAAGTTCAAAGCCAGCCTCCATAACTTAGCAAAGCACTAAGCAACTCAGCGAGACCCTGTTTCTATATAAAATACAAAAAAGGGCTGGGGATGTGGCTCAGTGGATAAACACCCCTACCTTCAATCCCTGGTACCAAAAAAAGAAAAGGAAAAAAGTGGGTTCGTCCAGTATGCACTCTTTTTTTTTCCCTGGCTTCCTTCATTTGACACAATTAAGATTCATTCATTTTGTAGCATATATCAGTAGTTCCTTCTTGTGGAACTATGTAATCATCCTGTCCAGTGAATGGAGTTAATTTAGCTCCTCAACAATTGATGGACAATTATGTTTCTTACAATTTTACTATTAATACAAATAAAGCTGGGCTGGGGTTGTGGCTCAGCGGTAGAGTGCTCGCCCAGCACATGGAGGCCCTGGGTCTGATCCTCAGCACCGCATAAAAATAAATAAATAAAATAAAGGTATGTGTACATCTACAACTAAAAACAAAATATTTAAAAAAAACAAACAAAAAAACTAAACAAAGTTGCCATGAACATTTGTGTACATGTCTTTATGAAAACATGCTTTTATTTCTCTTCAATAAACACCTAAGAGTGGAATGGCTGGATCACCCGGTAAGTGTCTGTCTATTTAAGAAACTTCTCAACTGCTGTCCAACAGAGTGGCGTGATTTTATGTCCCCACCTGCAGCTCCCAGAGTCCCAGTTCCTCTACACTTGCCAGCACTTGGCATGGTCAGCCTGAATTGGGGTCATTCTAATCGGTCCATGGTGATAGTTCACTGGGGTGGTGAATTGCATTTCCTTAACAATTGTGCTGAGTATATTTTCATGGGTTTATTTGACATCCATATAATTTCTTTGTAAAGCATCTATTGAAAGCCTTTCAAAAATTATTTTGTTTTCATATTATTGAGTTTTGAGATTTGTTTATATGTATATTCAGTCTGTAAGTTCTTTTTTTTTTTTTTCCTGGTACCAGGGATTGAACCCAGGGGCATTGAACCACTGAACCACATCCCCAGCCCTTTTTTAATTTTATTTAGAGACAGGGTCTGAGTTCCTGAGGGCCTCACTAAATTGCTGAGACTGGCTTTGAACTTGAGATCCTCTGGCTTTAGCCTTCCACGCCACTGGGATTACAGGTGTGCAGGATGCAAGTTCTTTATCAAATATATATGATCTGCAAATATTTTCTCCCAGACTGTGGCTTGTTTTTTCATTTTCTTAATGGTGTTTTTCAAAAAGCATAAGTTTTTTCTTTGGGGGGGGTAGAGGGCGGGTACAGGGGTTTGAACCCAGAAGTGCTCTGCGACTGAGCTATGCATGTCCCCAGGCCTTTTTATTTGATAGATAGATAGACAGACAGACAGACAGACAGGGTTTCACTCAGTTGCCCAGGTTGACCTTGAATTTGCAATCCTCCTGCCTCAGCCTCTCAAGTCGGGGTTACAGATGTGCACCACTGTGCCCAGCAAAAGAAGCAGAAGTTTCTAACTTGATGAAATCCAGTTTACCAATTTTTCTTTTCGGGGCATCTCGTTTTTGGTGTGATAGCTAAGCAATCTTTGCCTAACCCAAGGTCACGGAGGTTTTCCCCTGCATTTTCTTTTAGCAGTTTAGAGTTATGTCAGTATATAAAATGATGATGTTTAAGTCAGTGGTTCATTTTGAGTTTGTGTTTTGAATGGTACAAAGTATGGCTCCGAGTTAACTTATTCTGTGTGTGCAGATCCAGTTGCTCCAGCCGGGCCTGGGGAGAGATCCTATCTTCACTGAATTCCTTTGTGCCTTTGTTGGAAATTGATTGCCGTGTACTCGTGGCTGTTATTTCTGGACTTTTCCAATCTGTTTCATTCCACATTGGGTAGAAAGAGTGAGAGCAGACATCCGGCTTGTTTGTCGTCTTAGGGGACAGCATCCATCCCGATCATCAACTCTAATGTCATAGATGGGTTTTTCACTGATGCATTTTATCTATTTCCAGTATTCTAGTATTTCTCATTTATTGAGAGTCCTTATCAAGACTGGATGTTGGATTTTGTCAAATGCTTTTTGGCACCTTTCAAACTGTGTTAATCTGGTGGGTTCTACCGATTGATCTTCCGATGTTAAATCAACGCTGTCTGTATTCCTGGAATGGGCCCGAGTGTAGCTCAGTGAGGACCTACCACCCTTTCAAGACATCATTAGATTTGATTTGCTTAAATTTTGTATAGAAATTCTGCACCTTTGTTCAGGAGGGCAGCGCTCTCACCGGGTCTCCTTCGGTTTTGGCAGAGCTGCGCTGCCTTCGTAGAATTCGATGGAAAGCATTCCTTCCTATTCGATTTTCTGAAAAAGAGTTCGTGTCGAACTGGAATTATTTCTTGCTTAGAAGTTTGATGGAATTCACCAACGAAGCCACCTGGGCCTGGAGTTTTCTTTGAAGGAAGATTTTCTAACTTTGAATCCAATTTCTTTAGTGGACATAGTCAAGGCATTTAGGTCCTTTCTTTCTTCCTGAGAGCCTGCCCAAATTCTTGAATTTCCTTCAAGAAATGCATCCACTCATCCAAGTGGTCCCATTCGGGGGACACAGCATTGGTCGTAACATTTCCTTCTTACCCTGGAATCTGCAGTGATGTCATTTCTCATTTTCCTGACGCTGGTCATTTTCTCTCTTTTCCCTGCTGAGTCTGGTTAGGACTATTTCATTTGTATGGATCTTCTCAAAGAACTGGCTGGACCCTATTGACAAGCTAAGATTACTCCATCTTGAAACTAACGTAAAAGCAAGGCTCTCTGATCTTACCCCACCCCCCACTCCCTGTCACACACAGCAGACACTCTGAAAGGGTGCCCACCCTATTCACTTTTTTTATTTTTTTTTGGTACCAGGGATTGAACCCATATCCTCTGAGCCATATCCCAGCCCTTTTTTATATTTTATTTAGAGACAGGGTCTCACTGAGTTGCTTAGTGCCACACTATTGCTGAGGCTGGCTTTAAACTTGCGATCCTCCTGCCTCAGCCTCCCCAGACTCTGGGATTATAGGCATGCGCCACCACACCCAGCCTCATTCACTCTTGAGCCTCCCTAATTAGACCCTTGTCACCACACTGCTATCCAAACTGCTCTTATGGCGATCACAGGTGACATGCACCTTGCTAAGCCCAGTGTCCATGTGGCATCCTGACCTCCTGGACTCGCTGCAGCTTGTAGGATTCCATCACCTCTCACCAGGGTCAAACTCGTGGCCTCCTGACTGGTCTCTCGATAGCCCGATTCCTACCCAGCAGCCACCGCGATCCAGTAAAAACACCCAGGGCCAGATCAGGGCGCCT